CAGAGTACATTCCAAACCTTTGCATCTTTCACTTACTATTAAGCATGCTGATTTTTTGTGAATCCCATCCTTAAGATGCTTATTTTTCTCCATTCATTGTACAGGTTGAACCTCTATAATCTGTAATGCAGGTCTGGCAATATCTGTGGTCTGGCATGATTTTAGTTAGCTGGATGTCCACTTATGGGTGTGACCAAGGTTACCATGCATTCCAAACCTTTGCATCTTTCACTTACTATTAAGCATGCTGATTTTTTGTGAATCCCATCCTTAAGATGCTTATTTTTCTCCATTCATTGTACAGGTTGAACCTCTATAATCTGTAATGCAGGTCTGGCAATATCTGTGGTCTGGCATGATTTTAGTTAGCTGGATGTCCACTTATGGGTGTGACCAAGGTTACCATGGCCCCATAAAGTTTACAGACACCAGTCTTGGCTCTTTGTGTTTTGTGCAATTTTGAGCTATAATTTACTCCTAAATCTCTTCTAAGAGCCCAGTAAACTGTGGAAGTGTTGGTAATGCTGCTAGACAATACAGACCTCCCGTGGTTTGGCAAATTCTTGGATTCAGCACTAGTAAGGTCCCAAGAGTGCTGGACAAGAGAGGTTCAACCTCTTTAAGAAGCCTGAGCACCTAAGTCAGGCTTTGTGAATCAGAGTGATCTTTCAGGCATCTAAAACTAAGCATTATGATGCCCAAATACCTTTGTTAATCTAACCCTGGATTGGCATACTATCAGCTGGATGCTCTGCACATGACCACTTTTATTCCATTTTGAGTATAGGCAGTCCCCAGGTTACATACAAGATAGGGACTATAGGTTTGTTCTTAAGTTGAATTTGTATGTAAGTCGGAACTGGTACATATTTTGGGGGGGAGGGGAAGACGGGGAGCTGGAGTTAGGTGGAAGAGACCCTGATTCTCATACAACTTCCTTATTCTAAGAAAAACACAGAGGGTATGTCTACACTACCCCGCTATAGTTTGTGAAATGAGTAGTAATGGTAGTTCGAACTAGGAAGCCTAGTTCGAACTACCTAGTTCGTGCCCCGTGTAGCCACGCTGCACAGGGTTCGAACCAGCAGGTTTTTAAAAATGGCGGCTCCCCGCTTATGCAAATGAAGCCCGGGAAATTCAAATCCCGGGCTTCATTTGCAAGTGCGGTATGCCTACATTACCCTCCTAGTTCGAACTAGGAGGGTAGTGTAGACATACCCATACTGTTTTGATATGAAGGTTTTTTTGGTTGATATTTTAATTAAAAATTGATCATAAGTTTCAGTGTTTCATGCTATATCCAAATCTTCCTTTTGGGGTACCTGAAAGATCCCAGTTATTCATTTAATAGTCAGAATCTTTGTTTTTTATAACTAAAAAAGTTTATTCAATGCATATTACTGTTCCAAATAGAATTTGCTACAGATGGTTCAGTGAAATGGGTATTAAGTGTAATCAATAGTCATTGGAGAGCACAGTGAAATATTGATACAATCAAAGCTGTTGTTATATTCTGCTGAGCAGAAAATGGAAATCCCTTCCTGTGAAGTGTGTGCGAGAATTTATCCACAGGATTAATTTTAAAGAAAAATTCTGTGTTGGGAACAGGAGTTTAGCCACAGGTGGGTCCTCATTGTCCACTCACCCACCTTGCAACCAGACCCATCTCCTCGGGGCTTACCCTGCTCCGCTCCAGCCAGGGTGTGGGATTGGGGCTTATCCCCTCTTCCTTTCTGTCCTGCTCCTCCCCATTCTTGCCCACCCACACCACTGGGTAATTTTTCAGCTTCACCTCTGCCAGGCTGGAAGGGACTTGTTAATTTCACGTGATGCTAACAAGATACTTGCAGCTCTAGTGCTGAAGA